TTTCTTTAATTCCTTTTTTGCATCTTATTTCTCAAGTACATCTTTCCTTCCATCTTTACTTTATCTTTCTCCTTTTCTACTTCTTCCTCTCTATTTTCTTCCTCTTTTTTCAATTTTTTTCTCGAAAAGAACGATAAGAAGATGCAGAAATATTTTTAAAATTTTGAAAAATTTTCTTTCCTTATCTTAAAAAAAAGAAAACTCTTCGTATACAGATTACATAATGAGAAATAAAATGAAAGCACATCGTTGATGGATGCCAGCAGATAAAAGGAAGAAAGTAAAAATTAATTATAATTACACGTTTGAAGCAAAAAGTTCGAATTGTAAGTAAGAAAGATATGACTTTTCTGCACAGTTTTATGTCCCAATCACCCCATTATAAATCGAAGGTGACTTACTGTCAGCTATGACTGGTCGATTCCTTTCTAGAAAGTTAATTCTCGTCAATTCATTCCCCAAACAATTCATTTCTTGGACAGTTCTTTCCTGAATGGTGTCATACCGTTCTGCACACATTCTTTGCACAATACATTCTTCCCCCCAGACAATTTTTCCCTAGACATCACATCCCCAGATACTTCTAATACCAGCAATTCGTCTTCGGATATTTCTATCTGCAAACATTATTTTAGACAATTTATTCTAGACAATTCATTCGTCATTTCATTCCTACTTTAGCATCATTCACGTCCTCAGCATATCTTTGTTGCTGATGATACTGGGGATCTAAAAACTTTGATTGGATCCTCCGCATCTTCATCATCTTTAGCAGAACTTTAGTTTACTTTGCTGATGATGCTCTGGAGATCTGATTAAAAGTATTTGATTCTCGGGATCATCAGCAGCATTTTACAGAACGTTGTTAGGGATGATGCTTCATATTTGAAAGTGTATTCGTCTACAGCAGTAGTATCTTCAGAGAACTTGTTACGCTTATGTTGTTATGCTGTTAAGGATGCTGTGGATTTGCAAGTCATCACCAAATCTCCAGATTCTAAATACATTCAACAACATCTTTAGAATAGCATCCCTAGACAGATCCTCAGCATCATCAATCTTAACAAAAAACTGGTGATGCTGAGGTCAAAATCTTTGGTCATATCTTCAGTTTTTCATCATCATCTGCATTCAATGCATTTTAATTGTAGTGAAATAACGAAAAATACTTATAAAGTATACAAAACTAAGAAACTTTATCGTATCCTGATAGTGATAATCCAATTTTCCATCATAATTATCATAATTGCTTCCTTGATAATTGCATCTTAATGACATACACCAACAAAATCCCTTGATAATCTTCTTCCTACCTGACATTTTTGATCGTAGAATGACGAAAATTAATATAACAAAAATTAATGAGCCATGGAGGAGATCATTTAATTATATACATTGGCATTCAGCATCATTTTTGTGTTTACTTGCACAAAACATAAGATTGATGACAAGTAAATTAGATACTGATGGTGGGAAGAGAAATAACGTATTACTAATCACAAAATATGCCCATTCTGGCGCTAAATTAACACTGAAACACACGATTTACTATAATTTGAGTGCCAAAGTGTCTTCAAGATGGATCCAAAATAAAGTTTAAAGCGGTCTAGAACTTTTAAAAGCGGAACTGTGCTGTTTCTAATGCTGCTATAAATGTGAAAAACTGAAACTTCGATTATTCTGTTAGGAATTCTGCTAAAGAGGTTGAGTATGAGGTATCATCAGTATTGTTTCTTGAGCTTGAGCTCCAAAAACAAGGAAGAAAAGTGTAATATTTGATGCTCCATTTTTGGAGCTCACACTTCGTTCTGATTTCGTGGATTACAGCCCTTTAAATTGATTTAAAACTTTAAAAATCGAAAAGCATTGTATAGATCATTTCTAATGATGCTGTGGATCTGAGAATCTTCAATCAGATCCTTAGCATCTCTAGTCCAGATGATTTTGATGAGGATGCTGCTGATGAAGCTGAGAACCACGCATTATCTCAATTACTTTCGAAGCTTTCACCTGTAAAAACGGAAACAAACAGAAGTAATTAGTTTATAAAATGAACTTAGGATCAGTATATTCAAGCTCAAAGCTTCCGAACATGAAACGAAACTGCTCAATTTGAAATCTTCACGGCCGGAAACAAAGCCTTCTTGATCTTTCATATCTTCGAGAAGGAATCAATTTTGTTTAAATCACTAAAATATAGGTGTAGAAATTAAAAAAAAACACGTTATAAAAAGGCTAGTACCTGCCAAAAACTCGAAAATTTGGCAAATTTCGTTACGATCAACGACGAAAATCCAATATTTTAATACACAAAATTACTGATTGCTCCCTTGATAATTAGCGCAAAGAATCAATTAACAGCTTCGATAATCACAGGAAAATCTTAATTTCTACAATTTCCATTAGGAAAATATTTAATAATTTCACTTTAAATTAAATTCTGAGAGTTAGCGGAAATACCATTTAACTCAAACAATAATTTAACCTTTAAACGTCGGTACATTTAACTTAATTCTGTAAATTTGTTTGGAATTAAACAAATTGCAAATGTTGTAACGTAATCAACTACATTTCTGCAAGTGTTACATAATAAAATTTTACATCCCCACGTGTTAGTTAGTTAGATACGTGAAGCACCCTTCCTGCCACATCCTGTTTCTAGATAAGGGATCTTCTATGAAGATGTTAAGCATTTGGTGAGTTGTAAGATGATATTTTCAAGAATTTAAACTGTGAGATTAAGAATAAAGTAATAAAACATCATCCTGTTTCCTCATTTGGGTCATGTCATGGGTCTTTGATTAAAAAAATAAACAAAAAATTATCCGGATGTTGGTTAAGATGTTCGGAAATGATCTCTTTATCATAGGCGAGTGCTTCACACTTAAACATTGATTGGGTGTGTTTAAGAGCGTGTTTATCAAATTCTTATGATTTTTAACCTTGGAAAATATAAAATATTCAATATTTTTCTTCTTAAAAATGCCCGCAGTTTAAAATTTTCCATTATTTTGCAGCAAAAAGCCATAGAAAATTAATTATTTCTTTGCATAGTTGTGTGCTTTAATTCTTTAGAAAATATCAAAGAGAATTAAGCTTTTAAACCATTTTTTCGACCTTTTCTGCCCTGTCAATGTAATAAATTATGTGAAAATGTAATTTAATTTTAAAAAATTCACCCATGAAAGTATTTAAAATTCCCCCCCAAAAAATGCGACTTTATCGTGCATCTTTAGCGATTTTTTTCGAATTTAAATTAAAATGTTTCGAATATGTTTGCACATATTATGCTAGAGAATCAAATTTATAAACTTTTATAGCAAAATTAATTATATTTCAGCTATATTTTGATTGATTTTTGCTTCAGTTTTCGCATAGAACAAAAAGCTATACGTAACTTATCAATTGTATATGTATATGCATCTTTAATTAATAGTAATTACAATTTGCGTATAAAATTAAGCTCAAAATGATGCAAAGCAATTAAATTAAGGGATCCTGCAAAATATTCCACAAATTTTAAACTTTATCAGATTTTAAGCGAAAATTATCAAAAGTTAGCATGACTTTACGTTTTCCATTTTGATGCAATTTCTCGGATTCTTCTACAATTTTTATGCACTTTATCGTACTTTTATGCAAATATTATGCAAATTATGCTAATATTTTAAATTTAGACTATATTTAATTGAGTTTTTACAGCAAATTTCTCCACTGAAAGATGCAGCAAATTAAGAACGAAGCGTTTATAGATGAAGAACAAAATGTACAATTTAAATGCAAAAATTAAATGAAATTTATGCAGAAAAATGTGAGAAAAATCAAAATAATTTAAGCTTAAATACTAAACAATTATACTTACTTTAATATTTTAAAAGTAAAATTAAAATCCATTAGAAAATCCATACTCAAAATGATGCATTTAAAAAAAAATGAAATAAAATACATTTTGCATCGTTTGCAAAAATTTTATGAGCAAAAATTATGCAGTTTTTCAATCCAAATTCTCCATCTTTATTTGCTTTTTTTTAATATTTTATTAAATAAACTAATGAACTATGACTGTTATCAATGGGTATGATGCAGATATAGACTCGAAAGTGTTAGCAATGTAGTCAATACTGATTCTCTTCCTGCATCAGCTGCTAGCATCCCTGGGATATATTGATCGAAGTGAAGGTTGTCTGTCCTTGCACACCACTGCATTCTTCTACATTATCCAGGAAAATCTTTGTCGTATCTTGATTAACAATTAAACTATAACAGTTATTAAGTTCTAGAAACTCATCCAGGATCATTATGCAGCATCTTCCTGCATCTCGCAGTTTTAATCCAAAAAAAAGTTAAGATTTTACATTCAAAAAATTACGTGCGGTGCACAATATCACGTTACTTCGTTTCCTCTTCCTTAAATGACCCAGATAAATCTACGAAATTTATTAAAAAATCGTGAAGATGAAACACTCATTAGTGCATCTGTAGTTTTTATGAGTATATTCTATGTTTTTTTTTTTTTAATGGTGGAGTTGTCCCCATCGTCCCAACATCTGCTGTTTATCAGCTAGAGGGAAAAAAATTTATGCAAATTTTAATTGCGACGGGTCACGTTCTATCGGATCCATACTCAGAGGTCAACGTGACCTTCCTCTTCTTTTTTTTTAAAACTACTTTTGGTGTACAACGCTTATTTATAATACAATTTAAGACGAGAAATCCCCGCCGAGGGCATTTTCAGTAGTTTTTTTCAGACGTTGCAACGTTTATATTTATTTAAAAAAAAAAAAAAAAAAAAAAAAACATTAACGAACGTACCAAAATCGAAGGATGCGCTTCAATTTTCATGTAGAAAATCGAAGGATTACTCCAACTCTCCCTGTAGGGAACAGCATAAAAATTTACTAAAGTATAAGTGAAAGGATACAGATAAGTTTATTAAAATTAATATTATTTTTTTTACCGTTAGTAATAACGGGATAGAGGATAGAACGTTATAATTTCCGAGGCCCAGAAACCAGGATAAGCAGCCAACAACTGGGACTGTGGGCAGCTGTCGAGACTTGCGTGTTTCAATCCAGTTAGAGGCTGGTTATCATCCGAGTACTACTCTATACCCTCGCTTTGATGAAGGCCTTAAAGATAGGGATGTTTAGAAACAGGGGAAAATGAATCTCTTCTACTTAATACTCCTTCTTGATTTCTCCATTGTTCTAGGTTATGATTGCGATTTTGAGATACCTTGTGATTGGGAATGGCATAGTGAAAGTGGTTTCGGTGTGGCTACAGTTGCCAACTTCTCAACCCCTTCCACTCTAAGAGGTGATGCTGACAATAATCCAAGTGGTAAGTTCAACATATTTTTAATTGTTTAAACTCTATACTAACTCTCGACTATCTTTTCCATCCTCTTACAATCCCATATGATCATCATCACTTTCAATTTTATATATACAAAAAAAACTGATTCTTAACTTGTCATTTTGGATAAATTTTTTGCATTTTTCTCGTAAATATTTTAAAAAAACACCTTAAATTTTTTTAATTAAAGGAGGATTTTTATCTGAAATTCTAATTTTTTTTATGATGCTGATCATAGATTTGCTGTATTTTTTTTTTCGCTAGAAAAATACAAATATTTAAAAAATTAAATATTTTATGTGTGTTAAAAAGTTAATTTATTAAAATTTTAAATGTAAGTTCGATTATAATTATGATAATTTTAATTTTTATGATATTTTTTTCTTAAATTTTAAGCATAACTTTACACTTAATGATACTCACATTAACTACTTCTTGACTGCATTTCTGATAGAATTAATTAAATTTTTTGAATATTTATGCCTTTTATCACATTTCTTAGATGTTAAATTATACTTTTTACTGATTTTAATAAAATTTTTATCATTAAAATCTCCTAAATTAATTGTAATTCCTTCAAACACTTTGCTATAATGATTCCATTTGTTTGCTGTAAAATTACTTCAAAATCATTTGAAATTTTTATTAAATTTTAATATTTTTATAAAATCGAAAGTACAGAAGGAAATTACATTCAATTTTCTTTTATTTTATTACTAAAAATCAAAAAATTCTCATTGATTTAAACTCTAATTTCTAATTATACTTTAATATCTCCTTAAATTAAAATGTATCTGAATGTAAAAATTAACATTAAAAAATATATATATATGTAATATGATAAGTGGCTTTATACATAATTAGATAATATTATATGTTAAATTTAAAAATAAAGTTAAGTTAATTATATTAAAACATATTTTAATCAATACTTTTAGAAATATAATGAATTTTTGAAGTTGGCTTTCCATCATAACAACCGACTTCTGCAGGAAAGCCGCGATGCCTTACATTTAATCATAACTTTTACTTATTTAATTTAATTAAAATTATAAATCAGATGAATATATTCAAAAAATGTTTCAAAGATGTTAAAGTTTTAATATTTATAAGCATTATAATAAAATATATTATACTTAATTTTTAATTTAATTAATTATAGTAAGCTTTCCTGCATAGTAGCTGTTATGCAAAGAAAACGAAGTTTTAGCCATTCTTTTATTGAATTTTTTGCACTTTTAAAGTATATATTTAAAGAATAAAGATTATATTTTAGTTTATTTTAACTAACTGATAAGTTTTTGTGTGAAAATCTTGATATATTTACTTTTAAAATCTAATTTAAGTACAGCTAAATGACAGTTGTCGTGTTAAATCTTAAAGATAAATTGATTAAGCAAGTAATAACTGGATAAATGTGTTAGTTTCTTGAGAATATGATTCAAGAATTTATTTATTCTTTAAATTTTATTTAAATTGAGGTTAAACTGCAACATTAAGCAAGAGTTCTCGATGTTTATTGAACGTTGTCGGTTGTGTACATAAGATATTTTCTTCAAATAAATGCTCGGAAAAGTTCGAAAATTAAATAAAATTTTATTTTTTTATATTAAAATTATCTTTTTTAATTAATTAAAATTAAATAATTTTAACATTTATTGATATTTTTCTTTACTTTTCTATCCACAGCATCACTTTAGTGATGCTGTGGATAAAGGAAGTTTTATACATTTTAAACGTTTATAATTTAATATTTGACATTTAAGCATACTTTATAGAATAAAATAAACGAATTTTTAACATTTTATATGATAATTTTAAACTTTTTAAACGCTTAAACGTAAATATTCACCTTTACTCTTTACTCATCATCTATCATGCAGGAAAGCCGACTTTACGTAGTCATCTTTATTTTCTTCGATTTTTTAAACTTTTTATTAAAAGAAATGTTATCAAATAGAGAAAAATAGCTTAAATATTCTATTTAAATTAATCCTGATACAATTGTTTTAACATTTAATTAAAATATTTTTAATTGTTTAAATTTTATCTAATGCTTACAGCGAAGCCCACTTTACAGGAAATTTATATAACTTGTCTTTATTTTATGTTTATAATCTATTATAAAATTATTTATACGCTAAAAAAAATAGCTTAAAAACTGAGAAAATTAACTAAAAATACTATTAAAAGCTATTTTAATTTAAAAAGTTTTATATTTAAATCGACGTTAATCGTTTCAAAAGCTATACTTCTGAGAAGCCATTTTTTAAACGTGATCAATTAAACAAAAAATAAAATTTTAAATAAAATAAAATATCTAACGTATAAATAAAGATGTTTTATATAAATTTTGATATTTAAAAAAATAATAAAAAACAAAATGGCGCCCCGATTATCGATCACCAAAAACGTAACCAACAGCATCACTTCGGGTCAAACTGGAAGGTGATGCTGGAGAGCTGACAACTTGTTCAAGCGTAAATTTACGAATTATTTATAAAATAAACCTGAATAAAACTAAAAATAACTATTATAATTTTAATATTCAATGAAATTTCGCTAAATTATTTATATTTTAATCATTTAAATTGTAACTAACTACTTTAACTTACGAGAGAAGATGAAGAGGAAAGTGAAGGATGTAACTAAATTAAAACTAAAATTATACAATTTGTGAGTGAGTAAAACTTATCTGGAGGTGTTAAAGAAAAAATTTACTTGGAATTTTATCCAGCTTTCATGTTATTTTACTTTTATCCCGAAAGAAAAATCTCTTAAGAAATTCTTCCTGTAACTATATACTTACGTGCTTATTATCCTCACTAAATAAACTTTTAAGTGATTTAATATAACAATAAAATTAGCTTTAACTAATCTAACTTTATTTCTAATTTGTTAAAGAAGAATTCTTGAAGAAATTTAATTTTCTATTCTTCTTCCTCGTTGATTCCTTCTTGTAGAGTTAGAGTTTTTTCTTAAAGAGATTCGTATATTTTCTCGCTTTTATGACGGAAAATCTTATACTTTTATAATGTTTCGTGTCTCAAATAGGATTATCCTAAACATTTTTTTATTATTTTATAATTTAGAAGCATAATTAGTGAAGAAAACTGAAGATATTTTGGTTTCGTTAGTTGAAAGTTTTCATCTGAAAATATGTGTAATTGTTTAAGAAAAAGCTTTAAAATATTAAAATAATCGATTTTATTATCTCATAACTTATTCGTATTTTCTAAATTTTACAAAATTTTCCTTTATTTTCATCTTGTAAAGCATAAAAATTCAGAATTTTGATGTCATTCTTTATGATAAAGGCAATCCACATTTTTCACTTTTACTGAAAAAGCAATTGGGTTGTTTGAAAAAGATCACGATTTTCGTGCTCTTATTTAAGAAAAATGTCGTTTTTTTCCCCTGAACAACACCTGTATTTTTCCAACATTTTTACGAAGAATCAATTATAGTTTTCAAGAGGCATCTTCTTCTTGTCCTTTTCTTTCTAATACGGTGCACGTAGGTAAATGGATATGCAGTTTTATTGAATAGGATCATGAAATTATTCTATTTACTCTTCAATTTATTAAATATACTTTTTAATAAATGAGGTTTTTTTTCAATCTTCAAGAGGATTCCAAGATTTCCATTTCAGGAATCCTCTTCTACTAAAAAGGATTCCATTAAAAAGTATTTATTCCTCTTCAATCTCCACATCTTTAACTTTAAGAGCATCGTGAAATTGAGGAGAATACGCTTGAGGAACATCTTTCTAAATCATTATTGAAGAGCACGTCTTCAAATCCACCATGGATTTACTCTTGAAGAAGACATTGCAAGTTATTCTTGAGGAACATATTCAATTCGATCCATATTAACAAATTTCAAGAAGTTTTCAATTTCAGTTACAGTTTTACAATTTTCTAACTTAAAGAACATCATTTTCAACTTATTCTTCAGTAGCTTTTAGAAAAAAACAACAAAAATCTACAACAGATTTAGTCATTTTATTATTTTTTTCCTTGATAAAATCCCTTAGAGATTCGAAGAAACATTTATAACTTTGATCAGAGAAATTGTTTTTTTAACAGCTTTTTAGTTCTATTTATTGTTTTATTTAGAAAAGTAGGTTAGTAACTTGGAAAAACCATTTTTACGGCTCATTTTAACAAGAGAGAATTTATTTCTATAAAGAATTCCTCCCCATTCTGACGTTCGATTTCAATAAGGATGCAGTCCATTTCTTGAAGGAGCATCAAGTGTTAGTGATGATGTTCCTTCTTCGTTTTTTTTTTCTTTCTTATTTCCATCTTCCAACTGCATAAAATATATTTTACAATATCCTATTATTNACATTTAAGCATACTTTATAGAATAAAATAAACGAATTTTTAACATTTTATATGATAATTTTAAACTTTTTAAACGCTTAAACGTAAATATTCACCTTTACTCTTTACTCATCATCTATCATGCAGGAAAGCCGACTTTACGTAGTCATCTTTATTTTCTTCGATTTTTTAAACTTTTTATTAAAAGAAATGTTATCAAATAGAGAAAAATAGCTTAAATATTCTATTTAAATTAATCCTGATACAATTGTTTTAACATTTAATTAAAATATTTTTAATTGTTTAAATTTTATCTAATGCTTACAGCGAAGCCCACTTTACAGGAAATTTATATAACTTGTCTTTATTTTATGTTTATAATCTATTATAAAATTATTTATACGCTAAAAAAAATAGCTTAAAAACTGAGAAAATTAACTAAAAATACTATTAAAAGCTATTTTAATTTAAAAAGTTTTATATTTAAATCGACGTTAATCGTTTCAAAAGCTATACTTCTGAGAAGCCATTTTTTAAACGTGATCAATTAAACAAAAAATAAAATTTTAAATAAAATAAAATATCTAACGTATAAATAAAGATGTTTTATATAAATTTTGATATTTAAAAAAATAATAAAAAACAAAATGGCGCCCC